CCTGGGAGAGGGCGCTGTCCCCTAGGAAAGGTTAGCTGTTCCTTGACTGATCAGAGTTTGGTTATGTGGTAGCTGAAGTTTGAAGGCAGTGGGCACGATGGATGGGGGCGGGCGGTTACTCCCAGCGTCACTGGTGGAAGGGCTGAGTGGGATGTGGCCAAACCAGCGTCACGAGTGGAAGGGCTGAGTGGGATGTGGCCAAAAGCCGCATCACAGCCCTTCCACTCGTGACGCTGGCAGTAACCGCCCGCATCCAGCCATCTGCCCTTTGCCTTTTACCAAAACTACTGGAAAAGAGATTAAAGGTGCTGTTCACTTGGTGCGCGGCGTGAACATCCGGTTCAGATCAGCTTTCCGGTTAGGGTCATCTAGCCTTTTAGGTAGTGGAGGGAGAGGGGGAGGGGCGCAAGGCGTTGCAGTGCTGCCGGGAACTATGAAAGAGGAGCTCAGGAAATGGTTGGGTTACCTGGCCGCCCTCTCACTACTCGCTATGCGTGATTTGCCTCTATTATTTTGCACTGCAGTTACTCATCAGAGGATTGCCGTGTGATTTCCTCGTGTCAAGTTTCCCCACCACCCCCCCCCCCCCCCCATCCCCGCGTCGATTGCGTGAGGTTTCAAAGAGTGATGCATTCATCCAGCTTTTTCGACGGGAGGCACTCGGTAGCAGATCCAGTCTAAGCTCATTCTCTGCTCGTGTTCCCTCAACGAGATAGTGTTTTAAAGGCAGTTGGCACGATAAATCCCCAAGACGAGTAGGATTAATACGCCTGGCAGGACGGAATTCCGCGACCCTGAGCAGGCGCTGCATAATGCCTTTTCCAAGGAAGGTGCCCTTATAAGGGCCCTATCAAGCTACAACATTACGACCCAAACGCCCGCCCGCCCACAAATGGACGACCGTTCCTGACGCTCGTACTGCTTCATTTGCTAAGCAAATTATGAAGCGAAGGGATTGGTATGAAGCGGCCGTGATGCTGCATGGATATATGAGTACACATATGCAGCCGTACCTTCGGTAGCGGTTATTGGCAAGATGCCTACGGGAAACTCGTCCAAAATCGATTTCAAGTCATTGAGAACGGAGGCTCTTTCTTCGCAGGATTTTGACCGTTTCACTCCGTTCTTTCGCCATTTTCCCCACTATATAGCGCCCTACTGGCATTTTAGGCCGAGCACCAAATCATGGTGCCAACTGCCTTCAAGAGTTTGACGCCGAGGAGTTTTTTTTCGCGAAGCTTGACACTTCATTCCGTGAATTTTCATAATACAAACCTTCAGATCAACATATCTAATAACAATACAAGCATTACATACAGCACCAATATTATGAATAAAACTGAAAAAAAATCCTAAATCAAATCATTAATTATCAATAGACAACTCCAGCTCATGTTTTGCTAGATGTGTTTACGGTACCCAATGTAGTAAACACCGTTGAAAACATTCCGTCTATAATAGTGGAATCCACGAACTTGGGTAGAGCTCGGTTTTGTTAACCATCTTCTCGAGATCTGATCCGGGTAGAGGCCAACCGTCATAGTAGATAGTCTGAAAATATTCTTTTCAATTAGTTCTCATGGTAAAAAAGAAAGCAGAAGTTGCGAAGCGCTTCTTGTTGACCAATCCCTTCGAAATAAGCCGTGTACAGGACATTCTCTCAGAATCTGAAGGTGGTGACATGCGCACTTCATCAAAACAGTGACGTCTGGTGGTTGAAGGCACAGTTCGACAGATGGTGGGCAAAATGGTCCCGGAAAGGAATGAGGTAGTTGAGTTGATAGTGAAGAAGAGAGCGAAAAAAATCGTTAAATCGTTATAAACTCCTTAAATAAGCCCCCCCCCCTTTCAGGTTTGAATATTGTGTGAGCATAGAGGTGAGTGAACATCGAGGGGATTGATGTACACAAACGATCGAGACTGCGCCATCCAGCGATCGTGAAGAGAAATGAAAGGGTTGAGCTGCCTTTGAGGGCGGGGCATGACTTTAGCACCAAACCTTTGGCTAGACCTGTTCGCGTCGGAGTTATCATATCTACAGATAAGTCTGAGCAATAGTGCTGGTGGGCGCAGGTGAGCTGGGCACATTCTCTACTCTCCTGTTCCTCCTCCGTTTGCAGTCAGCCTTTAGTAAAAACACACTCTCTTGGAGGACGCAGACAGGAAGGAAGTAGCAAGGGAGGAACTTTTACTGCTGTATGCCACAGTTTGTACTCGCACCCAAGTATGTTGCAACTTACCATCCAAGGCGAGCATCGGGAAGCTTAGCAGCGGGCAGTAAAATCGCTGATCGTATGGGTGGAGACGGCTAACAGTTGTGCCTTGATC